ACACACACACACACACACACACACACACACACACACACACACACACGATATTGCCAAAAGTATTCACCTGCCTTGACTCATATATGAGTTTAAGTGACATCATTCCTGATCCATAGTGTTCAGTATGATGTTGGTCCACTCTTTGCAGCTGGAACAGCTTCAACTCTTCTGGGACGGCCGTCCACAAGGTTTAGGAGTGTGTTTTGGGGGATATTTGACCATTCCCCCCAGAAGCACATTTATGAGGTCAAATACTGATGTTGGACAGAAGGCCTGGCTCTCAGTTTCCACTCTATTCATCCCAAAGGTGTTCTGTTGGGTTGAGGTCAGGACTCTGTGCAGGTCAGTCWAGTTCATCSACACCAGACTCTGACATCCATGTCTTTATGGACCTTTGTGCACTGGTGCACAGTCATTTGGATGGGTGAGCAAAGACTTTTAGCAATATAGATTATTAACTAGAACTGACTAAAGGTTTGTATCATGCATAAAAGCTTTGCTCCCCAAATAAAAAAATACTCATAATAATGTTAGTAAATTTTACATCAAAAACCAGAATTTATAACAGATTGTGAGTGCCAGCTTTTGATCTAAAATAAACGAATTAATGTGCAATAAACTCAAAATTTCATTCAGGCATAGAAAAAAATGAAGCTCCGTAAACTTGATGAGAAAGTTTAATTTAATTTTAAACTTATCTGGAGTAGAGGTTGCTTCAAAGAAACAAAGCATTTTACACATTTACTAATTGTTTGTAGCTGAGCAAATCAGCCGTCACGYACAATAAATGAAGTTAAAAAGCCTTTCCATCATGAACCAAACAGCTTTGAGCTTAAAGTCACATCCTGATCCACCACCTCAAACAACTAACCTGTTTACACCCTCCCATTAGACTGATAAAACCCATTAACTTCCATTGAAATGGGGGGGAAAAGGCTGAAATGTAAATTAAGCTTTTCCATTACAGCCATTAACCTTCAATGAGGATAAAATATCTGAGATTCAACAGGAGGTTAGATTGAATGAGTCAGTACTTAATTAGACCCAGAAGCACTGAGTGTGTGTGTGTGTGTGTGTGTGGGGGGGGGGGTGTTCTTATAAGCCCAATAAAAGCATCAATACTGAAGTGATCCCATTAGAACAGCAGTGTTTTGTTAATCATTATCTCTTACACACAAATGTCACCAGAACACACACTCAAACAGGACAAGTTATTGATCATGTGAGTGGCTGCAGCATTTATCCCATGGTCATTCTTTAGCAGATGACCCGTGTAATGATCCAGCTCTGTGTGTGTGTGTGTGTGTGTGTGTGTGTGTGTGTGTGTGTGTGTGTGTGTGTGTGTGTGTGTGTGT